CCCCTTTTTTGGTTTTCCAATTCAAATATAGTCACAGTACCATTATAGATTTGTTCGCATCGCATGCCCCAACATGTTCCAATGTACTTTTTTTTCTTCTTCTTCTTTTGCCCCTGCTTGGTTTCCCGACCCAAGAAAAGGGTCACAGAGTATCTTGCGTTGATTTTCGGAATACAATCCCGATAATCTCCACGAGGAATCGAAGGTCTTATCTTTTACTTTATTACAATCAATAGGGTTGATATCCTCGAAGTTACTTTTTCTCACAGCCACGAGATCGGGATCGCACCAACAGAGTGCTTCAGAGACTTAACTCGTTACTTTAGTTCCCAGAGCCAACGCTATTCCTTTGCATCACAAAGGATGGAGCCCGAGGTCCAATCACAGCTGGCACCACCAGGCTGAGGGTTCTCCACATCTCGACAATCTGTGGAGAATTAATAATAACGGAGGTCGTTTGATTCTTGAGAGAGAATTTTGATTACTCGCCTAAGCTCTCTTCAGTTTTTTTTTTTGTAATCTGTCTAAGATCTGGGGTAGAAGGAATTGCATTTATGTTTTATCTTGATTTGTCCGACGTCAGATCAAGAGCAAGAGAACTTTTTTTATCAAGCTAACCTCAAAGTGTAAAACAATCTACACAAGGCTTTCGGTCTCCTCTTCGGGGGGAGAGCCGATAATTCTATCGAATTCATCAACGAATACGACGACCGAAAAACATATAGATTAGCAGTTAAGAGTAATAAAAGAAAAAGTAACTCAGATATGGAAGACAAGTCTTGTAAGAAAAATCTATTGTGTGCGTAATGAAAGCTGATCGGACTGGTAAGAATGTAGCTATCGCAGAAAAGTCAACGACGCCGATCAAGCTTATTACATCTTATTATCAAAATGACAACGAAGGCCTGTACATGGTATGGGTACAACCGGCTGCTTTGTTGGAGAATAATAATTCCAATCGAGCTAATAGATTGAGTCTATTTAAAGTAGGAAAATTGATGTACAAAAAGTTTAACAGCATAAATTATATATGCAGCAAATCTAAATTTAAAATAGAGGTCAATCAAATTATCAAACTTACACGAAGCTAACCTGTTAGTAAAGGAAACAACTTTTGAAGATAATGGCTAGAAAGCTTTCATCCCCAGTAACAGACTATTAAGAAGAGGTTTAGTTAAAGATACCGATGAAGACATTTCTGAAGAAGGAATCCAGGAATCTCTAATTTCGGAGTTTAAAGTTCTTAAAGATTTAACAAAAGAAATAGAGATCCAAATAGGCAAGAGAACGATCCCAAATGGATCCCTAGTAAATCCGTTGTGATCACCTTTTCAGATCAAAAATTACCGAAAGAAGTATTTTTACACAAATCAAGATTGAGGTGGAACCTTATATGTTACTTCCAACTATTTGTTACAACTGTTTTAGGTTTTGGTCACTCAAGCACTAACTGTAAAAGTAATGCTAAATATAGTATATATGGTGAACTAAAGCATAACGAAAATTGCTATATACTCCCCTAAATGCGTTAACTGCAAGAACCACACCTCTACGAATAAGGAGTGTATTGTATATTGCAAGGAGTACGAGATTAAAAGATTAATGGCTTTCGAAAACATGATTATGGGGGACGCGAGGAAGCTAGTATAAAATAGTTTTCAAGAAAACCTTTAGCTCGAGGACAGAAGAGTTTTCTTTTTTAAAGGAGAAGTTATTTACTCCTTATAACGAAGTTATCAAGAGTCAGAAAAATCAGTGCC